ACCAATCTAATATCCTAATATGATCAAGCAGCAAAGAGAGTAAAGATAAGAGCAAACTAAGCAAAACTAAGCAAGCAAAACAGAGCAAAACAGAGCAAATCCGAAATTCAATAAAGAGAAAAGCAAGTTCCTAGATGTGGTTATTGACTTTGGGGAATTTACAGACTAACTAAGGCTGTTTCAAACAATATTGATCAAGCAAACAAGCTAGCAATAGTGATTCCTAGACATAGAGTTCACAATCATGCAAGCTAGATCCAATCTCTTGTAAAATAGCCATTTGCTAAACATCTTAACAAGAACTAACTCTCATTAGTGCTAAAACATTAAGAAATCATTAATAAACAACTCTATTTCAGTCAAGATGCTCCTCAAACAGTCAATCTCTTGAGCCAAGGCCAGCAAATCCTCTATTAAACAAGATCAGCATTTCATCAAACACTTGGTGGGCATAAGAGAAAGCTAAAATCCTAGATGAGTGTGATCAAGACAAATCTAGTTTAAGAACAGATTAATAGAGAGGAACCCATATAATAAAGCACTAAACAAGCCTTAATCAAGTCCTAAATTCTCCTAATCTACCACATCTAGAAACTCTAAGCAAACTACTCACTAATACTCATGGTTAACACCAAATCACAAAAGGAAAGGATGTTAATCATGATTAAAAGAGAGAATAAAGAAAGATTAAAAGCAAATACTCAAATATATTAAATAAAGCAAAGGATTTGTCTTACAAACTCAAAAGAAATACTTAAGAACAGTAAATTGACAAGACTTGTCGAAAATCTGAAAAAGAGGCTATTTATAGCCTAAGGAAGGAAGCCCTAGAGTAATGGCAAAAGTATAAATAAAACAGGCTCGGACTGGGTTTGCATCGATCAGTTGTAACAGTCAGGGTTGATCGTTGCAAATCGTATCGGTTAGGGGAGTGATCGTTGCAGTGACCGAAACTGACTCGGCGCATTTGTACCGATCACTCCTGATCGATACATCTGATCGATATGCTTGTATCGGTCACTTCTTGATCGATGCTCCTGACCGAAAATCTTGTATCGATCACCCCTTTGATCTATATCCTCCGTGCTCTGACCGAAAAGCTCTGCAGAGATTGTCTACTTTGATCCTTTTTGCTCCCTCTGGTCCAGCTAGCTTCCTGGATCATCCTCAAAGCTCCTCCAAGCTACTTTTAGCTCCATAAGCACCTAAAAACATCCATAATGCAAGAACAAATGCAAACTATATCCTAAATGCAACCAAAATCTAAAAAGAGAAGAAAATAGGACAAAAACTAAGGAAAACATGCAAAAGAGAACCAAAACATGTACTAAATGCATGCCTAAATGGTGTAAATACAAGAGATATCAAGTATTTATGAATTTCAGATTAGATTCAGTTCGGTTCTCTCGGGATTCAGAATTGTTCAGTTATTAATTTTTAGATACGTTTTTTCAAATTTTTTCGGGTTTAGTTCGGATACATTTATTTGAAATAGTAATTGAAAATAACCGAAAATAACTGAGAATAAGCAAAAGTAATTGAAAATAACTGAAAATCTAAAATTAAAAATTAACCAAACCAACGACAATATAAACATCAATCTAAACATTCAAAATTTTGAATTGTCACCGAGAAAAACATTAAAAAACATTACATTGCATAAAACCAAAAGAAAACAAGTTCAAAGAATAGAGTTTGTAACAACTCTTTTCTCACTAATTTTAATGTCACACTTCATCCATGTCTCCATATACATCAGCACCTCAATCATGTAGTGCGTTAAACAACTTCTATAAGGGTCAAAGATTCATTCTCTAGTACTAAATGCACTCTCATATGCAATAGAGGACACTTTCATATGCAATAGAGGACATTTGCATTGCAAAACATCTCTAGATACTTTTGATAAATCTAGTACTTGTCAGTATTGACCTTTCACCAAGACAAAACATCATACTCGGTTCCAAGCCAAGTTTTAGGATTTTCAACTGCGTCTTTCAGATATATATGCAACTCGTTTCTTGTTTTATCAATGACTGTGTCATTAACTATTTCCTTGTAAACATAATCCATCCTTTTATATCCTCGATCATCATCCAGTAAATCCATAATTTCAGCAGCTGAAACATGATCGTGACCACTAGAAAATGAAGTCTGAGTGGACTGAGATGCTGGCACATACGATTCCTTCTTCAACCGAAGACTATACTCATCAAACACAGATGTCACAACATCATTCAATGATTGAAGCATCGCTTTATATTTTGCAGTATCTTTGCCATAAAGTCTCTCAAAGCACATCTTAGCAAATTGCATTTTCTTAGTTATATTAAAGACAATAGCAACAATCAGTATCATATTGATGTTCTTCATTCAGTCCTAATACTTATCAAATTTTACTCTCATATCTTCAGCCTTTGCTGCCAACTCTTTGTCTATACTATTGCTTTTGTTCATTAGATTTCTCTCTATAGTCACTATATCCCCAAAGCACTTATAAGAACAAATCATAGTGGCTGCTGAGACCATAGTCTACACATATATGTATATAGAGTATAACAGTATATCTTCTGTATATATGACATGCACATGACAATCACTTAGTGAGTGTGAAATGGGGCCGTTTCTAGGAGGATGAAGTTCAGGTTATACTCTCCAAGTTCACTCATGAATTAACCAAAAATAGAGAACTTAACTTTACAAGAAGACGAAGCTGGGTTATATATGTTGTCTAGTCTTACATAAAAATCCGGATGGTTCAAGACATTAAATTCACAATGTGTAGTTTAAGGCTGAGAAGCTACTACCTGAGATACAATTAGTTTTCGCTTATACTCTCGAAAAGTCTGTCTGGCTAGTCTAGTCGAGTCAGGATATAGTCTAAGTCAAGTCTTGTCTAGTTTATCGAGTCTGTAAAGTCGTCATATGTTTAGAAGTCATTTATATTTATGTGGAGGATTGTTGGAACAAAATTAATAAAGATATTTTGAGCTTTATGAATTTTTGTATGTGTGAATGAGAAATGAGTTGGAGCTCATACAAATGAAATGTTTTTATTGGCTATAACTCTTAGCGGGAGTGAAATTATCCCATCTTGGAAATTTGGAAACTTTTCAAGTAGTATATATATGGACCAATCTATGCATTGTTTAAATGGTTAAGAGAGGAGAAAAAGACATACGCGCGCGCCACCGCCGAACTCATGGCCCGTGGTTAGTGGTATGTGCCTCATTGCTTTTCTAAGATTTGCTCTTAAAACTCTTGGGATCACGAGTCTATTCGAACTTCCAGTTTATTTGGTTGGTTGGGCATTGATTTATTTAAATTCGTGTCACCCAAGTTTCAGAGGATAGAATTCGGTTTACTTGTTAAAACCCTAGTCTCTTTTCTATCCTTAAGTCATTTCTATAGATCATCAGCATTCAAAAATATACAAAGCAAAAACACAAACACATAGTTGCTTTGATTCCCTACTGTATCATATATAGTTTATTCGAGAGTATTGTTAATTTACATTCGTTAGAACTAATTTCAAATGTTACGATTCAGTGTTAAATAGTTGTATCATAGGATTTATAGATCATGATGAAATCTGTCATATTACGAGTATTTTTTTAGTTAAAAAAAATTAGATTTCAATTCTGTTTTTTATTATTTGTAATTTATTATTTATGGATTAATTCCTTATATATTGTTTGGTTTTAAATTTTGTTTTATATATGTAATTGAAATTACCATAGTATCTAAAAAAAAATGGGGTTCTAAACATAAGGTTTTTAAAGAAAGAAAAAAAATAATTCAAAATTAAATAAACTGTTAATAATCAATTCTGAACATAGTGTTTTCATGATTGGTAAGAGTCTCATATGTGTTCTATTTTCATTGGTTAATGTTTTTAGATAAAAAAATAAAAACAATTTCTATTTCTCTCTCTTCTTATTTGTTTAATATACTTTTATGTCATGTTTATTTAAAATTTTATGAAATACAATTATATTTAAGTTTTATAAAATATAAAATATTTAATAGTTTAAACAAAATAAATTCTACTTAAAATATTATAATTTTCAAAACAATATTTTTTATTTATAAGAATCTCAAATGAGATTTTACCATTGGACCATACAATTTTAATTACTTTTAAAAAGGTTTTTAACTTAAAAAATTTCAAAATTTATAATTAAAATAATGCTAAAAACACATTGGTTGGAGGTGGTCTTCGTCTTAGAAATGACAATTCAACAACCGTAGAAAAGCGACTACTAGTTAATTACGATGGTAGCTGTTACGAGCGTTTGATAGACCGTCAAGTATCGCATTTAAAAGAAACCGTGACGTGTTTATCTTTATAAGTTACATCTTATTATATAGTTTTCATTTCTTGCATTTTAGTTTGTTTGATTTAAGGTAATAGTGTCGAAGCTTATGGCCTACGTCTCAACGTGTCAAAAATCTAAACCCTCAAAATAAAAATATAAGAATAGAAAAATTCAGAAACGTAAACATACAAAATGGATAGAAGTGGAAAGTGAAGAGAGGAGTGAGCGAGTAGACATTGATTCTAGTAGAAAGCTCTCTTTCTCTCTCTCCCTTTTGGAGTGTGTGCATTCTCTTCTCCATTACGACAACGTTTTCACGCGATGGATGCCGGATCTTACCGGAGTAACGAGCTTGTTCGAATCCGACACGATTATGATGAAGGGGTTGGTTTGGTTCTCTCTGCTTTTCCTTTGTTCATTTGATAATTTCTTTTTCTTCTTCGTTTTTTTGCTTTAGGATTTAATCAAAGATTTATCTACAATTATTTTGTTGGTTTTTGGACCAAATCAGACATTATAAGCTCAAATTTTGAATCTTTTCCTGTGATTTTACTTCAGTTGCTATGAATAAAGTTACGTTCTTTGTCCGTAAAGGTTTGTTTATCTTTTGATCATGTTCAAATCTATGAATGTATGTCCAATTTTGGATTTTTATTTAATTTCTTTATCCAGACGGTGACAATGTTGGTGAATTTCAGCTACAGGTTCTTGATCTTCGGATTTTTAATTATTTTTTAAGTCTGAGAACCTTTAATCAACCGATTTTAATTGCATTCTCAAAGTCTGAACCTTTTTTTACTCACTAACTCATTGTAGTCATAAGGTTCATGTCAATAATGTCTCGAAACAAGATTTTAAATGTTGTTTTATTTCACCAAAAAAAAAAGTCTATGCGATGGTTCTTGTAAAATACTTTGGTGTAGATCCATTAAGATATGTTCTTGTCCTTTTTCTTTTCTAACATCGTTTTGTTTTCAAAGTGCAGCCAAAACCCCTCTGAATGGTCGGATATGTCAGATCTGTGGTGATGATGTTGGGCTCACTGAAACTAGAAATGTCTTTGTTGCTTGTAATGAATGTGGTTTCCCTTTGTGTCGACATTGTTACGAGTACGAGAAGAAAGATGGAACTCAGTGTTGCCCTCAGTGCAAGACTAGATTCAGACGGCACAATGGTCATTAGTTTTCATTGCTAATTGTCTTCTTGTTATCTCTATGAATTTTTAGTTCTTTATCTTCTGATACATTTGATTGGTAACAGGGAGTCCTCGTGTTGAAGGAGGTAAAGAAGCTGATGATTTCGAGAATGAGTTGGATTATGCACAGGAAAACAACAAGGAAGAGTTCTCTTCGTCATCTCGACATGATACTCAACCGATTTCTTTTCTTACTCATGGACATCCGGTGTCCGGGGAGATTCCTACGCCGGATACTCAATCTGTAAGAACTACATCTGGACAAATAGGTCCCTCTGATAGGAATGCTGCTCTGTCTCATTCTATTGATCCACAGCTACCTGGTATGTATCAGCTTTGGCTTCTTGTTTGTGTTTGGCCTTCATCAACATTGTATTTCTTGTAAGCTTCAAATGTTTATGCAGTGCCTGTAAGAATCGTGGACCCAACGAAAGACTTGAACTCTTACGGGCTTGGGAATGTTGACTGGAAAGAAAGGATCGAAGGTTGGAAGCTGAAGCAGGAGAAGAATATGATACATATGACTGGTAAATCCCATGAAGGGAAAGGAGGAGACATTGAAGGGACTGGTTCAAATGGTGAAGAACTCCAAATGTAAGTTATAAATTGGTTTATTATTTGTTGTGACAATGAGAAGATGTTAAAGAAGCTTACGTGATGTTCTTGAATAGTTTCCTTGTGGTTATTGATGGCAGGGTTGATGATTCTTGGCTTCCTATGAGTCGTGTGGTTCCTATCCCGTCCTCTCGCTTGACACCTTATCGTATTGTGATAGTTCTCAGGCTCATCATCTTCGGAGTCTTCTTGCATTATCGTGTAACTCATCCTGTGAAGGACGCGTATCCCTTGTGGATGACCTCAGTTATTTGTGAGATATGGTTTGCCTTTTTTTGGTTTCTTGATCAGTTCCCAAAATGGTATCCCATTAACAGAGAGACTTTTCTTGACAGGCTTGCTTTAAGGTTGGTTTTATATGTCTTTGCACTCAACATTTGTAAATAAGTTTGTTTATTTGCATTTGATTTTGGTTTCTCTTTTGTTGTAGATATGATATAGATGGTGAGCCATCACAGCTAGCTCCTGTGGATGTCCTTGTTAGCACGGTGGATCCAATGAAAGAGCCTCCTCTTGTAACAGCAAACACGGTTCTCTCGATTCTTGCTGTAGACTATCCAGTGGATAAAGTTGCGTGTTATGTTTCTGATGATGGTTCGGCTATACTAACTTTCGAATCGCTTTGTGAAACCGCCGAGTTCGCAAGAAAATGGGTGCCTTTCTGCAAGAAATTCAACATTGAGCCTAGAGCTCCAAAGTTCTATTTTTCACAGAAGATAGATTACTTGAAGGACAAGATCCAACATTCTTTTGTCAAAGAGAGACGAGCAATGAAGGTCTTACTATCTGTACTATGATTGTGTAGATAGTTGCTTCTTGTTTTATCCATTGGACTTATCTAAGAGACTAAAGAGTGAAAGTGTCACACTTTCTTATGTCTTACAGAGAGAGTATGAGAAGTTTAAAGTGAGGATCAATATCCTTGTAGCTAAAGCACAGAAGATGCCTGAAGATGGCTGGACAATGCAGGATGGTACTCCCTGGCCTGGTAACAATCCTAGAGATCATTCTGGGATGATTCAGGTACACTAGTACAATCTCTTCTTTTCATTTTACTTCTAACATTTGTTTTGTTCCTTGATGCTAAAAAATTTGTGTTCAACTTCAGGTCTTCTTAGGCCATAGTGGAGGTCTTGATAAATATGGAAACGAGCTACCTAGGCTCATCTACGTGTCTCGTGAAAAGCGTCCTGGATTTCAACATCACAAGAAATCTGGAGCTATGAATGCCCTGGTTCGTTTTATCTTTCGATTCTCTATTGCTCCTTAGAACCTGACTGTTATCTTCTCCTGATCTTGCTTTTCTTGCATTTGATAGATCCGTGTCTCTGCTGTGCTTACCAATGGTGCATATCTTTTGAACGTGGATTGTGATCATTACTTTAACAACAGCAAGGCGGTTAAAGAAGCCATGTGTTTCTTGATGGACCCTGCTATCGGAAAGAAATGCTGCTATGTGCAGTTCCCACAACGTTTTGATGGTATTGACTTGCATGATTGATATGCCAACAGAAATCGTCTTCTTTGACGTGAGTTTTTTTTATTTCCCGTTCTTGATCATTTCTTGTTCACTTCGAGCTGAGTCAGATGTGTATTATGTTGTTGTGCAGATTAACTTGAAAGGGTTAGATGGTATCCAAGGTCCTGTGTATGTGGGTATTGGTTGTTGTTTCAACAGGCATGCACTTTATGGTTATGATCATGTACTAACAGAGGTAGATCTTGAGCCTAATATTACTGTAAAGAGCTATTTTGGCTCAAGGAAGAAAGGAATGAGTAGTAGCAAGAAACAAAACTTTGGAAGGGAGCAGAAGCATCAAGAGAAGTGACTCCAATGCTTTGATATTCAATATGGATTTGGAAGATATCGATAAGGGTGTTGAAGGTCTGTCTGTGACGACTTCTATTGCGCATGCACGCGAAAGAAACTTTTTTTTTTTCACATTGAGACTTCTTTGTTCTTGCAGGCTATGATGATGAGATGATGTCTCTTCTTGCGTCTCAGAAAAGTCTGGAGAAACGTTTTGGTCAGTCACCGATATTCATTGCGGCTACCTTCATGGAGCAAAGAGGTCTTCCACAAACAACAAACTCTGCGACTCTTCTCAAGGAGGTGATTCATGTCATAAGCTGTGGTTATGAGGCCAAGAGTGAATGGGGAAAAGAGGTATTAGAAGACAATTTTAAAACAAGAAAGCCATTTTTTTTGTTCTGTTCTTGATAATAGTGTTCATCTTTTTGGATATTTAGATTGGGTGGATATATGGTTCTGTGACAGAAGATATTTTTACTGGTTTTAAGATGCATGCAAGAGGTTGGATATCTATCTACTGCGTGCCTCCACGCCCTGCGTTTAAAGGATCCGCACCGATCAATCTCTCTGATCGTTTGAACCAAGTTCTTCGATGGGCTTTGGGATCTATAGAGATTCTTTTGAGCAGGCATTGTCCTATATGGTATGGCTATAATGGAAGGTTGAAGCTTTTGGAGAGACTTGCTTATATCAACACCATTGTCTACCCAATTACATCTATCCCGCTTTTTGCTTATTGTATGCTTCCAGCTTTTTGCCTCATCGCCGACAAGTTCATTATACCTGAGGTAAGTTCATGAATTCCATACTTCACTTCTTGAAATTGCATTTTTATTTCATTCGTTTTATCCTTAATTTGCAGATAAGCAACTCTGCGAGCTGGTATTTGATACTGCTCTTTGCATCCATCAATACAACAGCAATCTTGGAGCTGAGATGGAGTGGTGTGGGCCTTGAAGACTGGTGGAGGAACGAGCAGTTTTGGGTAATCGGAGGGACATTGGCTCATTTTTTTGCGGTGTTTCAAGGTCTACTCAAAGTTCTTGCAGGGATAGACACAAACTTCACTGTCACATCAAAAGCCTCTGATGAAGATGGAGACTTTGCAGAGCTCTACATCTTCAAATGGACATCTCTTTTTATCCCACCAACTACAATCTTGATTGTGAACCTTGTCGGCATCGTGGCCGGTGTCTCATACGCCGTGAACAGTGGGTACCAGTCGTGGTACAACACCATTCTATCCTATGGTTGCAGAATCATTCAACCATGACCTGATTTGGTTCATCAGAACCATCGTGTTAATCTGATTATAGCAACAAAGCTCAGGTTTCCTCGTTGTTGTTGTTCTCAACGAGTATTTTCTTGCATGCCTCGTAACACATGAAGGAGATTCCAGCTGCAAGAACCAACTTCAAGCAACTAGGTCCAAGTACAGACTCTGTACCAACCCGCAAAACCTTCTTGCTCGAGTATACAGACAAGAGCATGCAACATGTTCTTGTAAACAACTCTCCCACCAACTGCTCCCACCTGCATATGCTTCCGAGCAACCTCCAAGGGGAAAGTCGCGGTACTCGACAACGCGCCAGCTAAAGAACCTATCAAAAGAGTCGATGTTCCCGATGCTCTGTTTCTTCTACAGTTTCCTGTATGCTTTCCTTAAGGAATCGTAGGCGAAGTAGTTCGTTGCTGCGTATGGAACCACTCCTATAAGACTCGGAGCAAGACCTCTGTAAAGTTCTGTTGGTCCTTCCTCCTTTATTATTTTCACAAACGCATCCAATATCCCTTTGTATACACCTCTCTGCAAAATAGTTCGAAACACACATCAATGGACAACGTCTAAACTCTACTCACCCTAACAACATACCGTATGTTTTGGAATGAAGAGTCGTACGAAAAATGTTCAAAAGCCCTCAAATTGACTGCAAATCACTGCTTCTCAAGACCATTTTACGGAAAAATAACTAAGGAAACTTTATGAAGCATACCTGAAATGTAATACGGGTCTTGACTAGCTCGAGGGGATATGTCAAGAGGGTCTGGCTAACACCAGCACAGGCACCCGCGAGCAATGAAGCCGGGATGGGGATTTTTGACTCTTCTCCGAGCTTTGGAGTCAACTTCTTGTTAACTGTCTCGAATACAAATAGCTGCACAAAGTTGATATAGAAGTTAAAAACTTGAACGTGCATCACAAAAGCTTACTAGCTAGAAAAAGATAAGAGCTTGAGCTTCATATTAACAATACAACACAAATGTTTCTAATTCCATAACTACTATACAACTAAATTTTCATAGATAACAATCCATACCAACTAAAACTCCACAGAAGTTAAAAACTTGAACAAGTTGTTACATGCATCACAAAAAGGTTACTTGCAAGAAAAAAGTAAGAGCTTGAGCTTCATATTAACAATATGACACAAAAGTTTCGAGCCAAACCAAATTTACCAACAATCTCAAATTCCATAGATAACATTCCATACCAACAATGAAACGTATTAATTTCAAAATCATAAAGATGTTTTAATTCATTGATACAACACAAAAGTTTCAAGCCATACTAATTCATCAACAATCTCAAAATTTCATAGATAAATATTGCATTCCAACAATGAAACATATTGATTTTGAAGATTATGAAGAATGTTTTGAATCACTGATACCTCAACGGCACGACCAGGTGCTACTCGAATGACATTGACCAAATTACCCCTGAAGAGACCTTTCCATCCTTCATGCTTCATGATATCACGGAAAACCTCGGTGGTTGACTCACCGCCGCTTCCCACCATCAGATGAGTCCTAATGGTCTCCAAAGGAGCAACCACCGTCCTCGAAATCGCTCCGGCCACAGCTCCGCTTAACAGCCACCGTAAAGAAGGATTCGAGATCTTAAGCTTCAGTTTCAACCCTCCTTTCATCTTCTTCTTCTCACCATTCAGTTCTTCCACTTCCTCTTCTTTGGAAGTTGAGTACTTTGTGCATAGATCATTGAGCTGAGAAGCGAAGCCATTGCATTGTCCTCTCTGTTCGGAGGATCAGAAATAGGTCCGGACCCCAGTCCTGACCCGAATCCAGCTCCTAATTGATTAACACTCGCGAACAATCCACCAATTGGACGGTGATTTTGGCTCTGTAGGCTCCAATCGGATCCCAGATCGGAAACTGAGAAAAACCCATTTCTCGAGTCGTCAAACAACTGGATTCCAGTCTTGGTCATGAAATACAGTTTCTGATTCTGAAGCTTCTGGAGTTAGTGGTAGTGACAGTGAAGATTTCATGAGCTCCACATCTTCCTGGAAAATAAGAAAGCTGAGAATTTGGAAGAAAGGGCTCGACGGAAATCTTGTGTCGACGATGAAACTTGGGGTTGTCTCTTTCGTCGAGACGCCTTAGGGTTTTACTGATGGTGGTGCTTGCAGGTGATGTCCTTTTGAATGGGTGAGTGGTTGGGGGCGGAGGCTGCGGTGTAGGTATTTATATTTTTTTCTGTAATATTCTTTTTTAGCTACTTTGTTTTTATTTTTCTTCTTCATTATCTATATTTTATTTTTTATTAGTTAAAAGTTAAGACGGGAAATTTGTCAAAATTTGGTCAAACAGTGCCAGTATGGAAGAATAAATGTTCTTTTTCGTTAGGTTTCAATTCATTTTGACTTCTAAAAAGTGGCGCAGCCTATTCACACAAGTTCTGTGTTTGTTGATTCTGTTAAATAGCCGAGCAAGAAATAAATTGAACTTTGTTGATTTCCTTGGAATAGCCGAAGACTCAACAAAAGATAAGAAGCTTAAAAGCTTGTTTTTATTCAATAATCGATGATGTTACAATAGGGGAAAGCAACACCTTAAATAACCAAGACTTTTCTAAGAGATAACACCAGCCGATATACTCCTTACTGAATTAGGAGTTTATCGTGAAATAAAAATAAATAACAATCCATCTAAAAACTCATAAGATAACACCAAAACCGATAATCCCATAAATGCTTAAGATGACGCTGCATCAGGTCTCCCCGGGTAGGAGAAGATTCGTCTCTGAATCTGGAATGTCGTTGTCACCGCAGTACTTGGAAAGGTATTTGAAGTTGAAGACGTTGGCAGTTTTGATATGCGGCAGAAGTTGAAGACGATAAGGTTTATCGTTGATACGCTCCAAAACCTCTAGTGGTCCAATCTTCCGGGAACGCAGCTTATTTTACTCGTGTAACGGTAAACGATCCTTAGACAATACCACCCAAACCATTTTGCCTGGCTCAAAATAAGCTCGCGTCGTTTTGAATCCGCACGAGACTTGTAATGTTGTGCAGACACTTCCAAGTGAGTCCGAGTTTGTTGATGTGTGGCCTGTAAAGAGTCTACGAACTCCACAGCACGGCCATGCAGTCGCCACGTATCTGGAACAGCGGTGAGATCCAAAGGGCCTCGTGGCAACAAGCTATAAACCACCTGAAAAGGACTAAAACCCGAACTCCGGTTAGTTGCATGATTGTGTGCAAACTCTGCCTGACACAACTATAATTCCCAAGTCCGAATATTATTGCCCACAAGGAAACGAAGCGTATTCCCCAACGCACGATTAGTCACCTCCGTCTAGTCATCAGTCTGGGGGTGATAGGCGGTACTCATGTCCAAACTCGTATGCAACAATTTCCACAAAGACCGCCAAAAGTGGCTCAAGAAGCGTGTATCGCGATCTGAGACTATCGAAGTAGGCAAACCATGTAACCGATAAATCTCCTGAAAGAAAAGTTGCACCACACGCATCGCATCTGTGGTTCGCTTATAAGGGAAAAAATGCACCATTTTCGAGAAACGATTCACCACTACGAAAATCGAATCATTGCCCTTCTGAGTGCGGGGAAGGCCGAGGATGAAGTCCATGCTTAAGTCTATCCACGGCTGAGTAGACACCAAAAAAGGCATGTAAAGACCGGCGTTAGAGGCACCACCCTTAGCAAGTTGACAAGCACGACAATGTTTCACAAATCTCTCGACGTCACGCCGTAACGTGGGCCAAAAATAAGACGCCCCCACCAACTGCAACGTTCTATCTCTCCCAACATGACCCTCTGCATGAAGCTCCTCAATCACCTTTAAAGGCAAATTTCAATCTGGGATACAAAGGCGAACCCCCCGAAAAAGAAACCCATCCTCTAGAGTATAATCACTACGAGAGCCGTTCTGAACATCGGCCAAGATAGTGCTGAAAAATGGGTCTGTCACGTAAAGCTCTGAAAAAGAAGCAAAACCCGGAACAGCCACATGCATCGTAGTGAGTAACGAATGAGGACGACTCAGAGCATCTGCCACCCTACTCAACTTACCCGACTTATGGCGAATTGAGAAAGTAAACTGCTGTAGATAAGCAATCCACGAAGCATGTTGGGAAGATACCTTTACTTGACTATCAAGATGTTTGAGAGCATCATGGTCAGTAAACAAGATAAAATCACGATGAACCAAATAATAACGCCAATGTCTCACTGCCTGCACCACAGCATAGAACTCTACATCGTATGTGCTATAACGGCTGCGAGCCCCTCCCAGTTTCCCGCTAAAATATACCATTGGTCGTGTTTGCTGACTCAACACAGCCCCTATTCCTAGCTTAGATGCATCACAATGTAATTCGAAAGGTAACTCAAAGTCCGGAAGGACTAAAATCGGAGCTGTGCTCAAATTCTCCTTAAGGAGATGGAAAGCATCACAGGCTTCTGCGGTCCAAACGAACGGCACTGTCTTCATGCAATCCGTTATTAGAGCTGTAATCGAGATAAAGTGCGAAACAAAACGTCTATAAAATGATGCCAAACCATGAAAACTTTGAGCTTGAGAGACTGTACGAGGCTCCGGCCAAGATTTAACGGCCTCCACCTTACTCTCATCCATTGCCAAATCCTCGGAAGAAACCACACAGCCTAAGAATAGAACTTTGCTGACGCCCAATTCACATTTCTGCTTAGCAACAAACAACATCTTGCGCCGCAACACAAGTATAATCTGTCGTATGTGATCTCTATGCTCCGATGGGAAAGAGCTAAAAATCAATATGTCGTCACAATAAACGACGACAAATTTGCCAATAAACGGTCGCAAAGCCTGATTTATCACGCGCATAAACGTACTCGGTGCATTCGATAAATCGAACGGTATCACCATCCATTCAAATAAGCCTTCTCGCGTTTTGAAGGCTGTCTTCCACTCATCACCAGGGCGTATGCGAATCTGATGATATCCGCTCTTGAGGTCGAGTTTTGTGAAAAATTTTGCACGTCCAATTTGATCTAAAAGATCATCTAACTGCGGGATTGGAAACTTATAGCGAACTGTGATCTTGTTAATAGCTCTGTTATCAACACACATACGCCAAGATCCATCTTTCTTTGGAATAAGGAGTGCTGGTACCGCGCAAGGACTCAAACTCTCTCGTATGTGACCCTTGGCTAAGAGACCCTCCACCTGATTTCGTAACTCTTCATGTTCTTTGAGACTCATTCGATAATGGGGACGATTAGGTACTGCCCCGAGTACCAAGTCGATATGGTGCTGAATATCACCTAAAGGAGGTAAACCATGAAGAAGGTTATCGGGAAGCACATCAGCAAACTCATCCAAGAGTTCACAGATCCACTCTGCCGGTGACGATGTATCCCCATCATGATGAACTTTTGGGAGGTCCTCATCATCACCATCATCAGCGTCCTTGTCATCATCCCACCTGACATCATCCACCAATAGACCACGGCGATTCTTCTTCGGGCACGCCATTTGGATGTGGCCTGTTTCTCTGCAGGAAAAACAGCGTAATGCATTTGGTCGAGTCGAACGTCGTAGCTGCAGAGGGTCTTGAGCAACGTCAGCTTTTGCTGTATATGATCCTTGAGCGTTGTTGCCTTCGCGTCCACCTGAATCTGTGGTGATTGCATCCACCCCTGTATTCCCCGAGACTCTATTTCGGTTCGTAAAGCTCCAATTGGTGTTTGACTTGAACTGTTGTTCGAATGCTATAGCTCTGTGCCGAGCCTCTGAAATTGATGAAGGATCGAATTGCACCATAGCGTTCTGAATTTGTGGACGTAAACCACCCACAAAACGCGAAACAAGCTGAACTTCGCTGTTAAAAACCTCATTCCGTGTTATAAGAAGAAAGAATTCTTCAGCATACTCCTCTACTGAACGTTGTCCTTGACGGAGATTCTGGAGACAGGTATACATCACACGATCATAGTTGTGAGGACGGAACACGTCTTTCAAGTGCTTCTGGAGCTTCGCCTAAGTCGCGATCTTCTCTTTAACCGTGCGAGCCCTTGTTGCCTTCAATTGCAACCACCATGAAGCTGCTCGTCCACGAAACTTTGTTGCTACAAGAGCCACTTGTCTCTCCACTAGCACTTGTTTGAATTCCATCAACTCCTCCACCGCGACAAGCCAATCCAGTAACTCCTCTCCGCGAATGCTGCCGTGAAACTCTGGTAAATCGAGCCTGAAACCCTACTCCCATCTTTTGTCATCGTGATCTTGATCCTCCTCACGTTCACGATGATTCCTACCTCGTGCAAAAGAATTCCGGCGAGTGTCGTCTGAATGCTCGCTGTTGACGTCGTGATTGTCTTCATGAACCTTCAGAACCGTCTCTGCTAACTTATGGATATAATTAGAAATCTTCATCTGGATGTTCTCCTGCATAATGAACATAGTTCTCCTGCATAGCGAACATAGTTCTCTGAAGCTCAGCCCATTCGTGTGACTGATCATCGTCGCGTCTGTCGTTGGTGTTTTGTGTGTTACGCTTCGGTGCCATGAATTTTTTATAACTAAAAGCTAGACAGGAACGTCGAGTCTCTTATACCAAAACTGGTGCAGCCTATTCGCACACGTTCTCTGTTAGTTGATTCTGTTGAATAGCCGAACAAGAAACAACTTGAACTTCTTTGATTCCCTTGGGATAACCAAAGACTCAAGAAAAGATAAGAAGTTTAAAAGCTCTGTTTTTATTCAATAATCGATGATATTACAATAGGGGAAAGCAACACCTTAAATAACCAAGACTTTTTTAAACGATAAGACCAGCAGATATACTCCTTGCTGACTTAGGAGTTTATCGTGAAATAAAAAGAAATAACAATCTATCTAAAAACCCATAAGATAACACCAAAGCCGATAATCCCGTAAATGTAAAAGATGACGCTACATCAAAAAAAGGAATAATGTATGCTGCAAAATTTAAGTATAAGAATATGAATTTTCTATCTGATTTGGTTTAGTTTTTTCGCATTTTAATATAAAAATTTAGAATTGATATTAAGTAAAAAAAACAGTTGATCAGTTTGAATTCAGATACTCAAAAATTTAATTTATTTTTTTGATAAATTTTGGTTTAATATTGACAGTTATAAATAAAGACAATTGAATATTTTGGTTATTTTATGTAATTTGGTTATTTTGGTTTAAGCATAACT